GGTTATACTAATTCTCATAGTCTTGTTGGCGATTCGCGATCGCCAAAGAATTTTCAAACTTTATATTGATTATGGAGGGTTGGCTTTGTTTTTGCGATGTTATCTGTCGATAAATCACCAACCTTGGATGTCTTCCATGCTCCTAGCTTGTCCGTAGGGAACAATTCCATCATTTTATTTTAATTTGGCTCTTAATTAGGCAGGTCATGGGGGATTTACCTCCCATGACCTGTCCTTTTTAATATTATTATGCAAAATTTATTCAACTTGTAGTCTTATGGATGAAAATATAATTTTGTATCCCGAGCTCTACAAATACTACTAAATAAAGTTTTATTTTAATTATGATCCAGTTTTCATCTTCAACTGTTATTTTCATCCTATCTTCAATTAATCAATTTAATTAGTCATCTTAAATTAGTCAATTCAATTAGTCATCTTCAATTAGTCAATTATAAAACACCAAACACACATAATTTTCATCATTACAACAATATTATTTTTTTTATATTTGCGTGCATTTTCTAAAATTTATCTTAATGCACTGTAATATTCCTACTTGATTTGAATAATGCCATATTTCACATGAAGCTTCATGTGAAGCTTCACATATTTGCTTCCATCATTTAAAAATTACAAAAATTCGCTATTCATCCAGTATTTAGAAAACACTATATATTTTGCTAAAGGGTTAGTGAGTTTTAAATTACATATAAATTTTTATAAAAAATTTCTATAAATATTTAAAACACATATGGATATTTTCTAAAAATGTTTACTCCAATAGTTAAATATAAAATCTTCTTAAACATTCAGCACATGGTATAAAAGTTTACATCAAAATTCACTAATTCGCACTTATACTATACGCTATATATTTTTCGGAATTTGAGTTTTTTTTTCAAATTAAATAATAATTTCAAAGGATAATTTTTCAAAAACTAATTTCAAAATATTTTTTTTATTCATATGTATGCATTTTTTCGGAAATATATGGAGCAAAATGTTTTAAAAATCATAAAATATATACAATTACGTTGAATATTCTCGGAAACTACTTACGTTTTAGGGTAAATTGAATATAAAAAATATCTATTTAGTAACATAAAGGTAATTTTTAAAAAAATTACTATCGTAGTTTAATATAATATCTGTTTCGAATGAATCCCTTGTCGAACAAAGCTATAAGAAATTTGCAAATCTCACGGAAACAGGATTTATGCCTAGGAATTTGCGGGATAATTGGACAAATTTTTTTTTTAAATTTTCCAAAAGCAATTTTAGTTAACGAAAATATGACGCATGTAGGTTGAAGGAAAGAATATTTTGATGCTTTTGTGTATGTAAGAGCCATTTATTATTATTATTGTATTCCAATCCCTTGCTCATAAGTCATTTATAAGTTGTTTCCCTGTTTAAGAGAAATATAGATGTTATTTACCGTAATACCAATTATTACTCTAAGATTCTACGCTTTTAAGCAGTTTATGAATTGGAATTTACTAAAGTTACTCTATAGATGTGCCGAAAATAACTTAGTAAATTTCTAAAATGGAAATCATAATAAATAATGAAGGCTTTTTTGTGAAACTTTTGCTAAAGACTGTAAGTTATATTATTCTAATGACAAAATCTCATTTTGCTTTAAGCTTGCAGCTTTTGTATATTTCAGAGAACAGCTGAAGAGATGTTAGTTGAAACTTATTTATAATAATGATCACATACCTTGCTTTCGCTTCACTAACTGGAGCTGCAAGATTGGCAAAAAAGTCTTTCGGAATGACGAATCAGTAACAGATTAGGGAAGATGTAATCAAAATGACAATAGTTTATCCATCTTTTTCAAGCTGAGGAAAGCCACAGTTGACCCGAATCTAATTAAATGCCAAAAGAAGAAAAAAAGAAAAAAAAACATATATGCAGCGGGTGCCTTCCAAACTTCGCTTAGCTTCCACCATATTTGGTCACATTTAATGGCAATCGTTGGAAGATTTTTAATGCGAAGATACCTTTTGTTTTTTCATTTTTATTATCAATGATAATAAGCGTTTTGGGAACATTTATTCAATGGAAAAAGTCGATTTTCCTAAATTAACAAAACATATTTTCTTTTTTAGCATTTAAGATCAATGTTTACTGTGCTACTTGTACATACTTATTACAAAATAATATCAACTTCCATTACTAAGAATTTTCATTCAGTAAATATTTTTATCAATTCAACCAACTAAAATATAAAATCTACATCTAACTTAAAATCTTTTCAAAATTTTACGATACACTTTGTTCATTACATTGGAATTTGACTTTTTTGCTTACATTTTAAAACCATATTCATATAACTCTGTTCTTTTATAAATGGACATATGTGAAAAATTTATCAGTAATACTCTCATAAGATAGTTCATGGAATTTGGTTAAAATTGTTCACAAGTCTCTGAAATTTTCAATCACTTAAATTTTTGTTCACTGCAAAACTGTAATCTGCTATGCATGTCCTGTTTTTGTTTTAAATATACATACAATAATTCTAAATTGACTTTTTCAGTAAATTAATATCTCATTATCTCATCGAAATTTTAACATATTTCATGTCATTTAGATAATTTAAAAATATGTATGAATATGACTTTCTTAAAATTTTTCATTGTAAGTATAAGCATATTTTAAGGCTAACTCCTGTGTTAAAATTTTTTTTAACTATTTTCAGATCAAAACATTTTTAAAAATTAACAGCAGTGGTCAAACTTAAAATTATATTTTTTTCCGAAATAATAATTAAAGATAGTAGAAGTGATGATGAATATTCTTCAATTAAGTCTATAGAACTTAATTCAATGCACATATTTTCTGATGTATGGAACTAACTAAAAAGACTTAATTTATATAAATTTATATTGTTTCAAAAGTGAACTTCTCAGTTAATCCATTGATAGCGTCAAAGTGACTTTTGACGAACTAACTTCTTAAAATATTTGTAAAGCTATTTTTTTTATTTGTCTGAAACACTATCAAATACCTAAGTATTTTCACATAAAACCCTATTTTGTTGCTTAAACTAATAGAAGCTTTGTCGATATAGTCTATATAGCTATACGGAGAAAACGTATTCTAGTAAAATTACTGCACTTTATGTTAACGACATGGTAAATTTGGTGAAAAAAGCCATAATTCTGGTAAATAAAATCAGAATTTAAGGTATTTAAACAACTCATTTGTTAAATTTTCCATATCAACCATGTACGAGAAATTCTTGTTTTCAAAATTATAGTTCTTATTACCACGCAGTTAGTAAAAAATGTAATTCTGAAAAGTAAATTTCATATAAAAAAAACTAGTTTTCAGGCTATGCTCTAAATTATCAGCATTAAATTAGCAAATTTTTCCGCATATTATAAAACCATATTTTCATGTTAATTTTATCAAAATCATTACCAAAGCCCTTCAAAAAAAATAGAGAGATTTTTTATTTTCTCATGCAGCTAAAAATAAAACAAATTTTTCTTGGTAGTTGAGACCATGTTTTTTTTTCTCAGTGCAGAATTTGTTTTTCTTATTTCTTTCTTAGCAAAATTATGCAAAGACTTTTCAATTAAACGGAGTGAAATTATGATTGTTATGTTCATCACTCAATGCAATTGTATACTAAAGTCGAGAAGTCATTATTTATAGTAGGCAGTTGGCATTTTATTAATAAAACTCTTACTTTATGTACCTCTATTAAGGAAGGTTACATTAAATCGCGTGATTTGATATGCAACACAATAAGTAGAGATTCATAAAGCATGCAGTAAGAAGAGGACATGATTACGATGACAAATAATGTTTTTTTTTTTCATTACATTTTATTTGTCCAACTGGAAATTGCCAATTTTTCTAAATACTCTAACCAGGGGAATACAAAGTCAAACACATGTATTGCTTATTCTTGAAAAATGTTGCATAACCTAAAAACATAACATAAAGATTTTGTATTCATTTGCCAGCCTTATTTTAGAATCCAGCAGACATAACATACACCAGGCTAAAAATAATCCTAAACTTTGGAAAAAGGAATTACATTTTAAAACTGCTTCACTATTAGTTCTAAGAATCTGAATGTCAACCCCACTATAGATTGCACATATCGATTATTAAATAAATTTCTTATTAACTTATTCCTTACTTGATAACTCCTTTTTAATGCCAATGTTGTAGTTTTCGTATAAAAAATATACTACTGGTAAATTTCTAAGTATTATGTTATATATCTTTGAGACATAAAACCATTTTGTCCTAAGTCCTTCCAGGAATGTCTATTTGATTCTGTTATTTTTTTCTTTTAGCACTTCAGAGCCTATTAAAATCTTGTTGCAAAATACATCAGATATGCTTCTTCTTGATAGTATCCATAATATTCAAAAATCAGCCATTTTACAGTAAAGAGACATCTATTTTTGATTTTATACTTATGTCAATTATCATCATTGATGTAACTTTAAAAGAAATACATATATGCAGTTATCAGTGTAATATAAAACTAGTGATTGGTATATTGTTAAAAACATATGGTATATTGTATTGAACCATTACTTTCAAAAGTGACCAGAAATGGCGTGCAAGGCGCATCTGGTTATAAAAAGTACTTAAAAGAAGGACTCATTCATTTTCAGCATGTTGAGACAAAGACAAAAGAAAAAGAAGGTGTAGAAATCTAAATTTCAGAACTTTCATAACGACATGTCGTAACTCATCTTCAGTACATGTACCGCTGTATGAGGGGGGTCAAGTGTCATGCCACATGACAAGGTTGTGCTCTTATTCTTCCGCACACATTTGCACATTTGATAGTTCCATGATTAGATCATCTAATTTATTTTTATTGTCTATTTGCCACTGTTAGAGGAAAAAAGAATTTACGGTACGGCCTCTTTGACCCTCCTGATCCTTGAGTGAGGAATTAAAGAAGCGGCAGGTAGTATAAAAGCATGGCGGGTTGTCCCTGATTCATTCTCACCCTTCAGCAAACCATCATCAGTGGTAAGTCCTTATCTTATCTGATTTTATATTCTTATGAGTTCATTGTTTTGAACGTTTTTGGATTGTTAGCTAAATTCTAAGCTAATCGCTACCTAAATACTTTAATGCTTCAAAGATTTATAAATTTTACTAAAAAATTTTTAGCTATTCAATTTTCAGATTAGATAGAAATATTGATAGCTATAATGTTAATTTAGAAAGAAAAAAAAACAGTGGGAAAGATAAAAAAGTTTCGTTATTGATTAAATAAAATATTTCAATATAAATTTATATTCAATGTAAATACGGATATATGATTTAAATATGTGCTGACAAGTGTGAGGAAATACGTGAATATATAGATAAATGTCCTGACACGTGTTTTATTTATTTGCATAGATATATTTATATGTTGATAGGTGTGAGGACATCTGAGCATGTTTAGATATATGTGTTAACAAGCTATGAGAATAGTGCAAAGTATTGTTAAAGAATTTTAAAATTAATGTTCATAATTTGTGAATGTAAGTTATTATCTTTAAACGCATTGTTTGAAAAGAAACCATCGGTATGATTCATATGTATCCAAACTGTCGTTTTCTTCAAATATGCATAGGAAATTTAGATTTCAAAAATAACATATACATGCAATTAACATATATTAAACACTGAACTTCTTTATTTCGCCAGAGAAAAAGTTTGCAATTCAACACGTAAAGTTTGTTTGCTATAAATCATGGCTCACAAAAAAAAAACATAATCAGCAACTAATTTTTTTTTGTATATGAATTGCTGAAAAAAAATATTTTCTGGAAAACAGCATGTGTATTAAACTCCTACTTTTAAAAACACGGGGGCTAAAATTTCACTTTGAAGGACAATCAGAAATTATAATTTTTCACATGCTGTTTAATGACAATAAAACTAATTTTCTATATGTACTTCATTTGTTACTAAGATATTTAAGAAACTTAAGTTTATAGATTAAATTTAAAAATTCTTTTGAAAAATATATTAATTTGCATGCTTCACGTGTGGAAAAAAAATGTTGCAGAATCGTTCTGTAGTGCATTTAGTGTTAGCAATCAATCAATAAATAAAACCGTTTTAAAAAACCGAAATATTTATTTTTTTTTTAAAATTAGTTATAATATTATAGATAATAATAATGCATTTAATTCTTGCGCAAGATCGAAATTGTTGATTTTATCGTGAAAATAATGATTGCTTAAAATAAACTTAGATAATATAGTTTGTTACAGACATTATATTAAATATATAATATTTATTTAACAATTGTGTTTAAAACTTTTTTTTAATGCTACTGTAATTTCTTTGCCTTTTGTTTTGTGCTTCACTAAGCTATCAGACTTTTATATGCTCTTTAAAGTGAATAAAAGAATATCAATAGGCTCGGAAATTTCTTGAACGTAACACACTATTTCCTCTTTTGATGTTATATAGAATCTGAAATTTTTCTTTGCCACTGATTGCTAACATGCATTGAAAAAAAAATTATAAAAGCATTCGTTCACTCACGTGTTTTTTCTTCAACGTATCCAAATTATCAATTTTCGAATACAAGGTTTTAAAATAACTAATCATAGATAAAAAAAATAAAAATAAACTTTTTGTTCATTTTGCTTTTAAATATATGACATAATTCTATTTTTGTAGCCTACAGCCTTTTGTAGCCTTTCGGCTTTAAACTATTTTGGCCCTTGTTGGCTTCAAACTTGTTTAGAATTACATTCCAGTTATGGTAAAAAGTTCCATCACTCAGGTTACCGATACTTTTTACCATAAAATCCATTTTTACCAGAAAATATTGCGGTTCAGAAAAACTGATACACAGTAAATTTTTTATAGTAGTAATTGTCATAAAATCACTGAAGCACTTGAAATAAATAAATATTACGGTAAAAATTACGGTATAATATTTTTCAGCAAAAATGGATTTTACTACAAAATAAATTTTACGGATGGCGCACCCAGAGTTCCTGTACTGTAAGTTAAGTCGAATGCGCTTAAATAGCTTTCACAGTGCGTTTAAATAATTAGATTCTGTTTCAAGATCGTTCATAAAAGTGTTATCTTAAGTTTATTTAAACTAAAAATATTAGGAATAAATTTAAATGTACATTTTTGTTCCCATATGCATTTTTATTACAATATGTATTTTAACAACGAATATTTGCGTGTCTAAAAAAATAGGCTGTCACTATTATATACAAAACAGTCTATACTGAAATATATGTATAAAAAAACTTTTGTTTCATTGAAAGTGTTGCATGTAGTACCTCCCTTGCAGCTTTGTTAAAATTTTAACAATAAATGTGAAACCTTAAGAGCGTTGTCACGTGCAGTCTAACGGCATGACTCAATTTAATATTTTTTTTCAAGTAATGTTTAATTATTAATTCTCTTAAACAAAAAATGTGATATTTAACAAACTTCAATGTCGATAAGTATGCACTTAATACCAATGTACTTAAGTATTTAGCATTTTTTTTTAATTTTCTATTTTAAACATAGTGTAAAGGTTCTTAAAAATGGTTCTGCTAAACTGAATACTTGAATGTTTCAAATAACTGATAAATAAACATTTTTGAAACAGCATTTTAATTGTAATTGAGTCGACGATTATGTACATTACAAGTTTTAAAAAAAATATTTGTAAAAATGACATTATCTCTGAAGGTGAGCATATTTGTTTAGTTTTATAATAACTTAATCTAGTTCAAGTGGAAACTTTTTTACCAAGTTTCTTTGAAGGCAATTAAAGGTTAGGTTTAGAGCAATGATAAAAATAAGAGATTTTTTTAACATTTGAGATAAACCTGCTACTTTTTTTTAAAAAATATAGTCAAGTTTTGTTTAAAGTTTCGTTTTGCGGCAATACAAAGAGATCCTATCTTAAATTGATTCACTAGATTATTCACTAGAACAATTAAAGAATTAGAATAAAAACAAGTATTAATTCGCTGAAATATTTTTTTATCAGAAGTTTCAACTAAACATTCTTCTAGAACATTTCTATTTCTATTTTGAGTGAAGATTCTTAATTGTTGTTATTTCGAGTGACTGTTGTTTCATAATTTTATATAATATGGCTTGTTGGGTAACTATCATTCATTGGAGAATTTCAACCATCTTTGACTGTTCATAACGCTCAGCGAATCGATGTATATATATAGATATATATATATATATATATATCTATATATATATATACA